TTGTATCCTATCATGTTTAGTACACGACCTAACATCCTGATATGCAGAACAGCACTTGGTGTGAAGTTCACGAAGGTTTGCAGCTGTTCTTCTCTTTCCTCTGCATGACTCTGGCATCACTGTGGGAAACATTTTCTGTCTTATTTTTGTAGATAAATCTGCGGTGGAGCTTCCATACTGTGGACGCTGTAGATAAATGGCTGTGACACGAAAGGAAAACATTTGAGGACCGGCTACGTCGAATAATGAGCGAGCTTAAATGGAAAAACCTGCTGCGTCTAAGCTGGTCACTCACTGAATCTATTATACAACGAAAGATATCCTGATTGTAGCACTTCACACTGAGGCTGAACACACGGGGATCTGTCGTCACACAGTCAAGTCACACAGGAAGCTGCCGTATTGTCGCCACGCTGTCGTCAAGAGAACCGTAACAAGAAGGAAGCGCCCTCACACGTGCACATGGAGCCGTCTCCTCCTATCATGACAGGCTGAGTGAAGCCCTGCTGCTCTACACAGCTCTCTCACCACCCACCATTCACCCAACTATAAAAGACTTCGTCACTGTTGAAGAGCAAGCTTAGTTAAAGGTTTTGTTAATCAGGTACAGCAGCAAGATTGCGTCGCATTTCCATAAATGTAGTTGAATCACAAAACTGTTTTAATCCATACAATGACTCATCCTACAAAAACACTGGATCTACGGTTCCCATCATCTTTTTAATAGATCCACCCTGACTGGTAAATTCCCACATCTTCCAAACTCAACGCTTTACTGTGTAATACATGATATCACCAGGGTCATTTTCTCTGACTTGCCAAAGTCCTCCAGCACAACAGCAGAGAGCAATTATGTAACAGTTTTCACTGTTTGAGAAGCAGAGCTAAACTCAACAAGTATGAAACATTCCTCAGAGATATTAATATGATGGCATCACGCATCACACATCCGTGATGTTAATCTCCCACTCCACCGCATCCCAAAATGAATCTTTTGGACTGATATGATGGATCCTATAATAATAATTTTCATCCCTGTGATTACTTGCAATAAGGATACAAGTCAATAGAAACTACAATATGAAAAAAATCTTGTTAAAAACCACAGACAAATTAGGAGCAGCACAGTGAAATACTTCAAATAAAAATTGGCCAGAGGTTTTCCAGAGTTGGAAAACTACACTCCAGATGAAAATGCAGCACACCTGTCCGCCCAAAAACATTTTGTACGCAAAGCAGCATAATCTACATTACTTCTGTGTCTGCCAGTAAGTTCCCATCTATAATTAATTTCAAATTCACGTAGACAAGACATTAATCATTCTCCAGGATGCTAAGAATAAACTAACCTTAACCACGGCCCTCCTGCTTTATATCTTTCAGCATTTCAAGCACATTACAAAACTGCTCAAAGAAGCAGTTTGTAAAAGGAAAATATCTCACGCACTACACTTCACACCAACAAAAGCTCATGTAATTATTTCTGAAACTGGTTGTGTTATTGTTATTAGAAACTGAAGATAGAAGGTAAAGTTTGTCTTCCCCCTCTGCATCACTACTGCATGCGTCTGCCACACATATATAGCAGAAGTTGATTTGTCTACTAAATCTGGAGACAATTAGCCGCTGGAACAGAAATCAAAATGCCAGAGCTAGTCATAATATAGGTCTAAGGAAGACAGATTTCAGCTACAACAATGGTGTTTTGACAGGGAGCAGGGAGAAAGAAAAGAAGGGCGAGCTTGCCTGCGTTTTAAGGCAGAGCATGCTTCTTTCTTTCTTTTCCCCTTTTCTCAGCACCCATTTCCCCACATCTGTAGAACAGATCATACTAGTGGCGGATGGATGAGAGTAACCCCTAATAACACTCCACATTAACACCTCAGTGCTCTGCTCCATCTCCAAGTCTCTGGTATGATGAATTACCTGCTGGAAGTCTTGTACGACTTGCGAAGTAACAACACACACCTTCTATAGGAAACACCAGGATAACCTTTGTATTTCCACACCATCGTATGCAATCCTTCTAACATGTCTCCCAAAATCACAGGCCCTGTGAGCTAGACACAAACACACTCTCACTAAGACAGACAATGTTGAGCTTTAGCACTCAACCCAGGTTACATTGACTTCCCCTGTGTGAGAGCCAGGGCATACAGTGTATTAAGAATTCATGGGGGATTTGCATCTTTGACTGCAACAATCCACGATAGAAAATAGGTCGACACAGGTTGAGAGCCACAGCCAGTAAAGGAGTAAACATGGATGCACACGCATACTCACGAAAGCGCCACACAACGCATAAAGAAGCATGAAAACAAACACAGAGCACAGGTTTTTGCAGAGAGAGAAGCACGCAAATTCCCACGCGCCGAGTCATACGCACACACATTTGGGCCACCGCGTACATCCCTCCAGGGGTAGAAAGATACACAAGTCATGACATTCATTCTCTCACACATGCTAAGACGAGTCCTGTAAAATGGCTTTTATGGATGCCACCTGTCCGTATGGGATCAGATAAACACACCGAGGCCTTTCATGTTTAGTTGAATTAAGCCTCTGTGACTTTCTCTCCGCTACCTCGCCCCACCCAACACACACACACACACACACGCTCAGTTTGGGATTGTTTCTGCAAGCAGTGGAAGTTATCCATCACATTTTTCATTCCCTCTCTCCATGGAGCCCCTCACAATCACCTCATCTCTTCTTATCACATCTGCCAAAACATTTCTCTCACGCTTGCTGTGCTGAAGGTTTTCAAACGTTCCCTTCTACAAAAACCCCACCTCTGACTTTACTGTATTGACAAGATGTGGAGTTTCAGGGTTCGGCGTCACCCCAAATTCCGTGGATGATACTTCAGACATCTGTGCTGTTAAAGGGTGGCGAATTTTTGGGCGATTGCAACAAACCATTGTTTTAATTTGTGATTTTTTTTTAATGAACTAGCCATCACTCAGAATTAGAGCAACAAGTCCAAAAGTAACACACACAGATGCCACCTCCTTTTTTCAGCAGCTACAGAACCATTAAAGTTTTTCACTAAAACACCCACAAACCAGGAACAACACATGCAGCTTCGGTTTCACAACAACATGAGAACTGGAAAAAGATGTGCGTGTGTGAAATCATAAATCAACACCAACATGTGCAGCAAGGGAGAGTGAATCAGAAAAACAGACATCTTTATTTTAGAAGGATCCTTTGAGTCTGTAAACGCTAAAGCTTTGAGACAGTTTGACAAATCCTGGATCGCGAGCGATATTACACCATAGAAAAAGATTTTAAGCTCCTCAGAATGTGTTTTCAAAACCTAAAGTAAACCAGAATTGCAGTTTGAAGTATGCAGATTGCCACAGGGTATCTGGATTTAATATCTGGACTAAGTATCGATGCAAAAAAAATAAAAGTAATATTTGGATGCCAAGTATGTAGTTAATTGGAAACAGGTACATTAAGCTATGCTGACCATTTCTGGAGAAAGCAGTGAAGAGAGATATGTACCACTTCCTGTTTGTGTCCTCACTGCCAACTTTGCTTCAGCATTTGCAATAAATGCTTCTGCCAGAAGAGCAGAAAATGTTCACTTCAATAACAAACGTTTCATTAACGAATGATTCAGTCAGTTTTGGCTTTGGCTGATAATGTGGAACCTAAATACATTAATGTGCTCGGTAAAAAATAGAATAAATGAGTCTGACACAAATGGAAACTATTCCTGATGTTTGTCCATTAACTAATTATTTCCTGATCCGATAGCTGACTGGAAATTCACCGCTTTAAAAGGTTTGTAAAATAGAAATGTATCCAAATAAACAGAGTACGCATGCTCATTTCCTTATCTTATCCATATTAACCAAAAAAATCGATAAAGACTTAACATTACTTAGATTTGTATTGAAGAAATTGCCTTTACACAGTGTCAGTGTTTCTGAAGCGCACTAGAATATGGAGGTAAGAAATTCAGTTTTTCCACCATTATATAAAATCATCATTGTTTTAGTGATCTCCTTTTTCAGTCAGGCGAGAAGCAACTTGAAACATTTGAGCAGCTGGTGTGTGCTGCCATCTAGTGGCTTCAATACAACATAAGTTCTGAGGTACATGATCGCAATGAGGACTAAATTCTACATGTCGATTACAGATTCAGCACAGGACAAGCACTACATTTCTTTTCAATTTTCATCTTTTATTATATCAAATATAACTTAAGAGCTAAAAGTTTATTTGCAGTATCGCAAATCTATGTAACCCCCCGCCCGATCCCAACTATTTAAAAATGTCAATTGTTATTTTAGCTGCTGCTCTGTAGTTTCAGCAGGGATGCATTCACAAATCATCACATCTCTTGAGCTACAACTTTGTTGTGGGACTCAAGCAGGTTGTCTTTGATAAATTATAGCCAATCATAACACAGGACATCATCTCAATGTGCGAGACCGGAAACAACGCGATGCAGTCACACATGAAGCGAGACAACTGATCAGTCTGGAATGCTGATCAGGCTGTGTTACAAATGAGATGGAAGGCATTTTTCTCCTTTTGGTAGGTTCTACGATAATTATCTAAAAATAGTCAATTACTGTTTAAAAAAAAAAAAAAAAAAAAAAAACAAAAAACAAACAAACAAACAAAAAAAACCCCTCAACAAACAAACTACAATAATAAAAAAAGTTAGGGGTTTCAATTAAGCTTGACTGTGTACATAACATTTATATAGAAAGACAGAACACGTAAACATATGGTAATACACAAACATGGATAACTACTGAGAGAAAAAAAAAGAAAAGAAAAAAAAAAAAAACACAATAACTTGGAATCTTTTTTTAATCATTCAGATTTGTAAAAATGTGTTAACCCATTTTATATTCTTTGTCAAGTTCGTCAAGTCCAAATGAATAACTCCATTTCTCTGTTGTCCTAAGATCTGAACACTCTGAAAATACAAATAACAGGAAATCCAAACACTTATAATCATCTCTGCTTGCCATCTTCATGCCACCTTTATACATTTTTTGCCTTGGACATGAAGTCCTTAAGAGTTTCCTGGAGCTTCTGAATGGCAGCCTCGTCTTCTTCAACAGCCTTTGAGCAGATCCGCTGCACTCTGCTGTGCAGATCCTCCAGGCATTTCTGTTGTAGAGGAAGCACAGGAGACAGCGTTGAGGGTACAAAGTAATATGCAGCATAAATATTGCTGCATTTTTTTTTACAGATTCACATTAAGGCCTCAGCCATACAGGCCTAGAAACTGGTCGGCAACCCTGGCAACCCCCCCGTTGCCATAGAAAAATGTGTTTTCGACGATGCCTGCAAGTGGCCATTTCCAGAAATCTGTTGCAAAGAAGGTGCTGCACTACAAACCTGCTTTTTTCCCCCCAGTGGATTGCTGTGACTGCCTGTAGTTTGCATGGAAGATGCCAATTTATACACAAAAACTTGTTATTTACGCTCCAAGCTGTAATAAAACCTAAAAAAAAAAAAAAAAAAAGTGATGCAAACTGAAAAATGAAGAATTTAATCTTCAAAGCAAAAGCTGTGCATTACAGCTGAAAGCAACACATTTCTCGATGTGCAGCTTCTTCTACATTCACCATTGCCAGTTTGCACTTTTCAGTTTCATTACAATTTGGCAAATAATGTAAGTGTTTCCACACAAGTCAGCATTTTTTGCTGGGTACCAGGGGGTCACTGATCACACAGATCTCTAGGCTTGTGTGACTGGGACAGCCATTAAACTCCAGCAATCACTGGCAACCTGCTATGGAACACACATTTTCCCTTTCTAGCCATATGTTGCCAGATGTTCACTGACTGGTCTCTCTAGAATTGTGTGATTGGGGTCTACAGCTTTAGACTTCTGCCAGAAATGCACATCCTAACTTGCGTGGTAACCGGAAACTTATATACCCACACCTAAACCTTCCACACCATTGCAGTGGTTGAGGTATGCGTTGACCCAACATGTAGTTGCATTTTTCAGGAGGTGCACATCAGGTTATGTAGCAGGACTAAAATGGGGTTCCGGTTATGCCGAGAGTTATGATGTAGATCTGATGCAGAAGTATAATTCACGTGTAAGATATAAAAGTATTACAAAAATACAAATTCAGAAACACAGATTTAGATAGTTCAGTTATTCTATACAGATTCTTTGTAGTTGTACATTTTTTTGTTATGCATTTAGTACAAATCAAATTGAAGTTCAGTATTAGTATTATCCATTGTTATAAATTTAAGGCACAAACACTTCAAGTATAATCTAATCTGTCCTATAGCTGTGATGTTTCTGGGGAAGAACGGCAGGGAAACCTAAAATCAGAGTGCTTTTGCCTTTTACTTTGATGTAAAATGAATGTTTTGTACTGTCAGAAACTCACAGCTTTGTGTAAATTTAAGCTCATGTCCTGAGACACTCTCTTGTGGAGAACAAGAGAGAGCTGTAGGAACGTTACCTCTGTAATTGACAAGTGGTTGGCAGCTGTGGTAAAAACAGACGCCAGGTTGTTAGCGACTGTTCGCCTCTCTTCATTGGTCTCCTGCAGCACGAGGTGGTACCTTGTGACAGAAACAAGTCTTAAATCTCATCAACTGGAATAAACAGACACATCATTCACAATAAAGTTCACCTTTGTTTCATTAAATGATGAATCTGTATTTTCAGGACTACTTGTGATGATTTTGAATATATAGAGATATAAAATGTGACGTCATTCAGGGGTAAAGCGGCAAAGGATTCTGGGAGCGAGTGGCAAGCGGTACTAGCGCACGCAGGCTTTCACATGAAAACAGTCACACAGCCATAAAAAGAAACACAAAAAAAAAAAAAAAAAAAAAAAAAGGCAAGAAGCTGTTGTATTATTAACTACAATAGCCGGTCGCATGACAGCCACAGGAAGCCGACGGATAAAGAGATCGGTTGTTATCGGATTACATCGTGGAAGAGAAATTGTTTAAGCCACGTTTCCGAAGTAACAAAGAGCCGACGGATGGCCTGGATTGCAGCCATTCAAAGACCAAATATAACGTCCCAGAACACTCCAGCTCACATGTTAGTCTGCTCCAAGCATGTTTTGTAGTAGTTATTACACAATTTATCATAACATAATTGTCGATGTAGGTTACAAATAAGTCTTATATTGATTTGAATTGGATTTGTTGTGCTATGCTGCTTTGTTTACTGTGGCTTTGTGATCCAGAGTGGGCCCCCTCTATCAACCTGGGTCAGACGGAGTGTAAAGCTGCTACCACAGTGAGATTTGATCGGAGGGGGGGAGAGAGAGAGAGAGAGAGAGAGAGAGAGAGAAAAAGGCCCACATATATGTGCCCAAGTGTTGTATTGAAGCAATCAAGTGATGAATAACTGTTTTCCAGTATGTTGTTTTGCATCGTTTGTTGTTGTTTGTTGTTGTTTTTTTGCATTGTTGATTAGTTTTTTTACCGAAGCAGCTAATAAAGCACAATGGAATACAATGCCTCTTTCTTGTAAGATTCTATAATAGAATGAAACAATAATGCCAGTTATAAATAAAGACAATAAATTGAATGAATTACAAAACACTCATTTTATTTCTATTAGATCTGAAAATGTTGTGTAATACTACAACCTGAAAAGACAAATAGATTGCATTTGCCTGGACAGGAGATAAAGGGAAAAAAATTAACAACAGCTGTGAAATGGAATAGTCCAAATCACCTTGCAACCTGCTTGTTGCAGGGGTCTGAAGTTACTAAACATTTTGTGAGTGTATGCACTAAAACTTAGGACCATATAATAATAAATATGTGTGTGATGAAAGTTGGGCAGCACGCTAACATCCTTACTCCACTCTGTATGCTCGTATGGGTCTGACCCTTTCACTCCTTTGATTTTTTTCCTCATACTTTTTTTTTGCCTTTTCGTCAAGTCTGTCTTTGTATGGACCTGCCGTGTTCTCTGTCGTTTTGTAGATAACTGTTTTGGGGCAAATAAAATGCAAGTAGGGATTAAAACCGCAGAATTAATGATTACCGGTGCTGGAAATACTAGCGCTTGATGCAGTGTTTTGATTTTGTTGCCACGGGTACCCACAAAGCAATGCGCGAAAGTCACGTGGTCTGTCAATCTCTATAGCAAGAAGAATCTTGAAGAAATAGAAATATGGTACATATATTGTTGTTGCTTACTGTTGCTGTGCTGCTTTCAGCTGCTGCACAGACTCGTCATAACCATAATTAACTTTTTTCTCGAGAAGTTTACGGTGGTTTTCCACAGACTCCATCTCTGCCGCCCATTCCTGTTCTTCTCGGGCCAGCTCCTATACAAACATACAACACGGCAACATGTTTATGAAAAACTACTGTGCATTTTCTTCTTAGGTTGTTGCCCAGGAGAAGAAAAAAATATTTCCTCCCTCTCCTAGGAGAAAGTGTCTTTTTTCCACTATGAATGGGTTTATTAGTTTGAAGCGTTGATAGCTCTTTGGGAGTTACAAAGCTATATTTTATTAACGTGGGTATAATTTTGTTCAGTGGAAACTTTCACTGTCGTGTTGCAGAATACGGGACAATACCTGCTTTTCTCCCTCCAATCGTTCGTCTAGCTTGCGGATCTGCTCTCTCAGCTGCTTCAGATCATTGGTCTTATCCGTGATGATAGAATTTACCTAACAGACAAAAATAACACAAATTATAAGTGCTGCCGTGCAAACAGGTTAATATGTGACTACTTCACAAATACCAGAAACAGATATGATACAGCACTATCAAATTTTTGTTACCTGTTCACAAGACTCCTCCAAACTGAGTTTCATGTTGGTTAATCGACTGTTCTCCTCCTCAACATCTCCAACCAACTTTCTTAGTTGCATCTGATCAGAACAATTACACAGAAACACCATCATGTAAAGCTACAACCTGAATATGGAAGTATATTTAATTAGAGGGGAGTAAGTTGTGTCTGGTGAATTTCTTAAGATTTGCTCTTGTAAAAAGCTGCGTAAACAGAATTTTAACTGGAGTCACCTGTATCTGTGTTTTACACTGAACCATGCTGCCGGCTCCGCATTCAAAAGGCCGGATCTCGAAATCGTGACCACAGGCGTTCTCTGCAGAAATCGGTATCAGCTTCAGTTTACGTGCCAGCTTGTGGTACTCTGCCAGCTTCAACTCTGCCTGGAACACAGACGATTGGTGTTGATGGAAAAGAAAAGGAAGAGAAAAAAAAAAGTAAAAAACACAGATACTGTTTTTAAAATGATGATGAATGTTTGATGTCAACAGTCTACCCAGACTATAAAATGGGTAGAACACCGACACAGATGCACTAAATAATATTTTCCTAAAATGTAAACATTTACTCAAAACCAGCTAACCAAACAGGACTACAGCTGCCCCTCTTTGCACATATACAAGATGTAAATAGTACCTTCTCTTTCACTTTGGCCAGTGCAATCTCTTCATTCCACTTATGCTGCTCAGCGTTCTCCAGAGACTTGGTGAGACTGGAGATGGTCTGCTGAAGTTCCCTCTTCTCTCTGTTGATCCTCTCAACATCAGCTGGAGTAAACTTCTGATTTTGCAGGAGGTGCTGCAGTTCATTCCTCTCATGTTTCAGAGTTTCCAGGTGGCTGACTAAAAACAATACCCAAAAAATGTTCACTATATGTTTAATATTCAGGAGTCAGTAACTCCCACTGACCACACCACTCTTATCTTACCTTCAATAACCATCTACCACTTTGAACCTGAATACTGTGCAGTCTTTGCTTAATTTAAGTAACTCTAAAGACAAACATTGTTAAGTTGACTAATCCAGATATAATCGCATAATCACAGAATCCAGTGCTTTTTGCCAAAGACGTGGCTTGCTAACATGGTTAGATCAAATGTGTTATTTACTAGAAATCTCCAGCTCAGCATTCAGTTCTGAGTCTTTTTTCTCCAGGTTGTCTTTAAAAGAATCCAAGCTGGCACGATAGCTCTGGAGTTTCTTGAGATCTGCCTGCAGCTTCATCTTTTCCATCCTCTTCGTCATAAGACGGTCCTGCTCAGGAGGACACAGAACATGTCAACACAACTGGGTACACAATTCATTCCAGCCTAAAGACAAAATACTGGGAAAAAAAGGAAAAATTATTACAGTCTGACTCTCCTTCTCCAGTTTTTCAACCTCATCAGTAAGGATTCTGTGTTTCTCCTCCATCGTGACCAGCAGGGCCTCGTCAACGTTGTAAAGCTTCTCTGTGAACACAAGCAAACACTATCCTCGTTAAAAGCCTTTCAGACAGCACTTGGTGCAGTGCATTAAAGGGGATAACAGGCAAATTAAATCAGACAGTTTTTGCCTTTTTGTAGGTGCAGTCTAGACAAATGTCACTGAATTAAGAATACCACCTGGGTTAACAGGAAAATCAAGGCCAAATGCTTAGCTAACCTGAGTACTCATGTCCCCCAAGGCCAAGTATACTGTTGTGAAGTTTAAAGAAGATCCATAAAGAATGGTTAATATAACATTTTTACCAATTTTCACATCATTTAGTGTGACCTTTATCCAATTTTCACTCAAATAAAAGAGCTCAAGCTATTATTGGTATCTACAAAATCTAAAAATAATATCTTGACGACTGTGGACACCAGACTGCTAAAAAACAGACAGAAAAACAACCACAGACAATTACATATTCCCTCCTTTTGTATGGAGAATAATTTTACACAGAGATGTTGTTCTTACTCAGTTTAACGAGGAATGCTTCATCTTCTTCCTCAAATGTGTCATCACCTTGCATGAACTTGGAATATGTCTCAGCTGTGTAGTCCAGGAAGAGCTACATATGAAGAAAGAACATTAAGACAAACTTACAATATAATAGTCACACTAGCTTTGCTGAACAACACAGATACGACACATGATTGGCTACAAAATGTACAGTGCCAGTAACTATATAAAGTGGGCTTACACCACTTTCTTAACCTGTCAGTATACATTATTTTATTTTTCATAGTTTTCACACTGTAAAGTTCCTGTACCTTGTTAAACTCAGAACCTTCTTCAATATTTTCGCCTTCATTGAAGTCACTGAACAGCAGCTCCTGTTTGCTCAAACTCCAGTTGATCTGATGCAGAAACACATTAAAAATAAAGAAAACATGCTGACCTTTAGCTTCCACATTTTCTTGTGGGGCATTTGATATTTAGTGCATGTGAACTTTGTTTTAAACGATAACGATCCAATGTACTTGGAGATTTAATGTCATTTCTCACCTTGACATTATCAATAAGCCACATGAGAGCCCCCAGAGCCTGAGGCCAGGTATGGGGAGCTCCAACAGAATACATGGAACACTTGGAGAGAACGAATGGGTACCTTAAACAAGATGCCAAAACAGAGCAAGTCAGGAAAGTTTCTTAAACTACAGAAAATGAGACAAGATATTTCATAATATATCCTTTAACTTTTTCTTTTTAGTGTGGGGAGGGGGGTTTAACAACAACAACAACAGCTGTTAACAGTACACATTTTACCCCAAGGTTTTAAAGAGAGCAGGAACCTCCTCTTCAACTTTTGAGTTTGGCATCTCAAAGGTTGGGTCTAGCTGGCAGTAGATGAATTCAAACATCTTCACAAACTCCTTGGTGGATGGAGACTGGAGGGTCTTGGATGACAAAGTGCCCGGGTAACCCTGCTCTGTCAAGAACTAGATCATATGAAAGAAATACACTGTTAAAATACAAACTAAAATTTATTCTGCAATCATTTAAGACCCCTTGTGTGGTAAAGTTATCCATCAGAGGTGTGGTAAAAATGCTAAGCAGCTAAATGAAATAAGGTGCATGTTGCAGTCCCTTATTTCACAGTCCACTTGACACAGACACAGTTTATGTTTTTACCTCGTGCAGCTGCCTGATGCATTGCTGAACATAAGACTTATCGTGTAGAGGTCGAGCATCTTTTATCTTCTCAGTTCCTCCAAACCCTGACATGGTGCTGTTGCGAGGCATGCCGACTCCACTAGTCCTATTAAAATGTCAAAGAGCAGTTTTATTTTTTAATTTACAAAGGGAGTTACAATATATTCACACTTAAATCAAGGCATTGCAGAGAATTGTTTTTGTTTTTTTAATGAAAAAGCATAAATATATTTTTAAAATTTAAGATACGTCAGTCATTTTACCCTGAGTGGGTTAATTAACTTATTCCACTTTTTACTTGTTTTAGGAACGTTTGTAATCTTCATTTTATTTTCAAATTTCTAATATCTAAGCTAATATCTAAGCCCAATCACCTGAGGATTTTACAAAAGTAGTCATTTTGTAGCAACAGTGTAACCGAGTTTTGGAAAATTCAGATATACCTCGGACCAAAGAAACTGGTCCGTCTTTCAGAGGTCCCAGACTGCGGTTTTGGTATGTTGAGCTTTCCAAATGAAGGCTGTTTACTGAGAAGAAGAAAAAAAAAAAAACTTGAATAATTAATTTGCTAATACCTAGTGAGCCATCTTTCGTCATGAGTTAATAAATATAACTTCCCCATCCCTGCTTTACCCCATGTATACAATATCACAATATCAATATTATATCATATAACCCAAACCAGTAAGTCCCAGTCTGTCACAACGCATTTCTAAACAGACTGTGTGGTCCAAATTAAGCCATGTTAATTGAATGTTGTGGAGACAACCCCTTATTAAAAGCATTGGGTTACAACAATCAGCTGTTTATCAAATAGATGAGTGAACTAAGTAGTGTAATTGTAGAGCTGAATTTATTACAGGTCAAGTTTCTTTAAACAAACCTCTGAGGCGTCGTATACATCAAGCTCATCCTGTTGCTGTCTTGCACTCGCAGCGACTGCTCCGATGGTCTGCTACCTTTGACTCGACTCAGCCTTACACTGGAGAAAGTATCACAAAATGGGAACATGTTTTATGAAAGACACTCCAGTGATTCACAACTGTTCGCCGAGTACACAACACCGCCCATTAAGGAGAGGATGTTGGCCACATTTGTAAATGAATGACAACTCTCCGTTAAGGTTGACATACACTTCAGGAACGTAATGAAGTAGCATTGTTTGCTAACTAGCGCCGTAACTTCTGTAATATTTCAGATAGTCGAAGTTCACTAGACCTAACCCAATACCACGAATACGTCGTGTTTTACTCGATAAATAGTGTTATAGTTGTGAACATTGTTGAATTAACCGCTGCGACAACGTTTAAACTAACGGTCGCTAACGTCCGCAAACAATGACAGCAAATGAATTTGAACTTCGTTAGCTTAGGTGCCCAGAAACATTATATTTTGTCAGAATGTTGTTTGGCACTTATTTTCTTGGCCAAAGTTTAACTTACCGCTCCATTTTTTGTCACTTGTGTTTACAAAATGAACAGAACTTCCGAGCAGATTTGCTCACCCCGCCAAAAAAACCATATAAATACTGGAGGGTGGTGACATCACAGCAGTACGGAGAGCCATTTAGTCCAAGAAAGTTCCGCTCGGATTGATGCCGCGTCTATGGATTCGATCGGATTGGGGAACTCCAGGCCTGTCCTGCAGGTTTTAGATATTTTAGATGTAGACACGCTCAAGGTGACATACTATAGTTGAAAGTAAGCATCAGAATGGGAAAGAAAGGTGCTTTAAGTGACTCCGAACGGCATGATTGATAGTGCCAGAAACGGTGCTCCGTGTTTCAGAAACAGCTGATCTGCTGGGATTTTCCCGCAAAACCATCTGTAGGGTTTACAGAGAATGATCCAAAAAAAGAGAAAATATCCAGTGAGCAGCAGAGAAAATGCCTAGTTCATTTCAGGTCAAAGAATGGTCAGACTGCTTTGGCAACAGTAACTCTTGAAGGCAACAGTAACTCAAATAATGCCTTGTTACAAGAAATGTATGCAGAAGAGCAACTTTACCAAGAAGCCACACAAAAACCGGAACTGTTGTGGATCGCGGCAAACGGAACTCAGTTCAACTCAATATTATTTTTTTCTATTTACAAGCTTGTTGGTATAGACAGTCTATACAGCATAGGTTACACACTACAGCAGAAGACAACACCAGGTACCACTGCTATCAGTTAAGAACAGGATACTAAGGGGGTTACAGTTCCCAAGGGCACAAAATTGGACAACAGAAGATTGGAAAGGGCCTAGGCTTCCCCTGATGCATCGAGTGTTTCTTCTTTACTCGCTGCATTTCACTTTCTGCGTTTATTTAAAAAACGTAGTTATTATAGATTACAACACGACTTGACTCTCTTCCATAGCGTGCCGTTTCTCGTGTCCCCTCCACTCATCCCCAAGTGGTCTGGCAGACAGCTGCACCTCCTTGAGCCTGGTTCTGCCAAAGGTTTCTTCCCATTAAAAGGTAGTTTTTCCTTCCCACCATTGCCAAGTGCTTGCTCATAGGTGGGGTCATCTGATTGTTGAAGTTTTGTCCATGTTATTGTAGGGTACTTTCCTTACAATATAAAGTGCATTGAGGTGACTGTTGTTGTGATTTGGCACTATATACCGGTAGATAAAGTTGGTTGTCAGAATTTCTGATAAAAAAAACCCCATGAAAGCATGGAGCTGTCCTGTCTTTTATCAAGTGTTCAGGATGCTGGTAATGTAATAGTGTATAGTATATTTTCTTGTCACCCTTTGAGCCAGTTTTTACCACCATGGTTTAAACACCACAGCCTACATGAGTACCGCTGCAGACCATGTCCATCCCTTCATGACCAGTTTACCACTTTCAGCAAAATAATGCACCAAGTCACAAACCCAAATCATCTCGAACTGCTTTCTTGAACATGAGTTCATTGCACTCAAATGACCCCTACAGTTAGAAAATCTTAATCCACAGAGTACCTTTGGGATGTGGTGGAATAGTGTATATATGCTTATCAAATGTAAGGACAGCAGCACTCTCATATGCATGTAAAAATGCTTCATTTGTACATGAGGATGAGATCTAAAAAATATAAAAGTCCTCTGACAACTTTCGACTCTAATACTTAAGTTGCCTGACAGGTTTGTATAATATGATTCAGCAAAATCAAAAACTATACTATAAATCACCTTATGCACACTTTAGGAAAAACTGTGATAAAATGATCATCCTTTGGACAAAAATCCTATAATCTGACATCATGTAAAGACTCTCTCAGTCATATCCGTCCAATGATTTTCTTCACTTTGGCAAGATGAACAGATTGGATCAACAGTTTGAGCAGACAAGTGACAAAGAGAAGTAGAAAATTTATTGCAGTATTTGTTCCACCAAAAGGGTATGAATCCCCTTTCCTCTTATTACTAGGGTGACCTAATACAACAAAATCTACATTTACAAAATATCCTCCTGCAATAGGCCACATATACTGCATGCGTAGTTCGAAATAGAATAAATTATATTCAGAGGACTCTGCCATTGTACAGCATGGACAAATAAAAGTGAACAAAAATAAAAATTCTTGTTTTTTTGTTTGTTTTTTGTCATCTGTTTTTTTCCTCAAATATCTAAAAGCTAAAAGGAAAAAACCATCCGGTTGCTAGTAGTATAATAAACTCCAAAAACACTTTAATAAGAACATCAAAAAGACTAATTTCCAACATTCACTTAAGGTTTTATTCTTTTTTTTTTACAGCTTTTTTGTCTTCAGAGATATAAACATTTTAATTTTTTGTCGTGTTAAACTATGATACAGTGGGAGTAGAAATGAGCGACTAGAATCTGCTGCACAACAGCGAAGGAGCTCCCACAACAATGTCGACAAAACATTTCCCTCCAGGTCTCGTCTCTGATAGCCTTTTAAGGGATAATCGGGATGTATTATTCCTTTAATGCCTTCAGGATTCTATCCTCTGAACTTGTACACAAACGAAACATGAGCAGTCCCTCTAATATAAGTCTTATGTTTTGTGTCATTTTTGCAAGAATAACTCATGTAAAAGTATGTAGTGTCAAATATTCTTGCCCTCGTGTTTTCTTACAAAAATGAGGAAGGAGAGAGGGAGGGTAGGAATCCAGTGAAGTTTGGCTGTGTTGTTGGAGGTGGCAGGTTGAGGAGGAGGAGAAGGAGCAGGAGCAGTGAAGAGGAGGATTTATAATAAAGTAGAAATGGAACAGGGGAACCAAAAAAAAAAAAATTAAAAAAACAAAACAAAACAAAAAACCCCACCACATTGGAGCCATTAGCTAGCCCCTCCTTCCCGTGCTGCATACAGTGAGCGTAAAGTCTGTACTATTTTGTTGCTCAGTTTGTGGTTGCTGGTCAAGGCAATCTTCTTGTAAATGATGTCCGACTCCTTAATAGTGTCCACCCAAGGCACTAGTTTTCGGCCATCACGTTTCTTGGCTTCTGCCCAGGGCCCCGAGTACGAACCAGCCATCCAGTGGATGCTGTACCCATTTGAGGTCTTTTGGATGACTCGAGCTATCTGCGGCCGGTCTTTATATTTGGGGCAGCAAAGCGCAATCACATCCATAACCTCCACTGTCTCACTCATCCGACCAGGATCCGAGGAGTCACCTGCTCGCCTTGACTTTCGAGAGGACTGTAGAGAGCAAAGAACAAAAAAAAATTTTTTTTTAAAGAAATTTCCTCAATTGCTTTTAATTAGCATTTTACAAAAAGAGTGTGTATCCATTTATCTCACCCCTGGGGTCCTCTCGTCACCATCACTATCATCATCATCCGTCTCTGGTCCGGCCTGATTGCGCGGACTCGGTCCTGACAGGGGGCCGGAGCCTCCCAATAGAGCATTTATGGCTTTGTTTCTGATGTTCGCACTGGCAGATGCTTCCCCCTCCTCATCCTCTTCATCTGGGTCCAGATGTTCCATCAGAACTTTGAACTGTGAAAAGTAAAAAGAAAAGAAACCAACTTTGAGACGAAGCTTCAGGCTAATCAGCAGTTATAACCATGCAAACCAAATATTGAATAAAGGGCAAAACTCATATTCACTGCAGTCTGTTTGAATTAGAGATGGACCGATCCGGTATTACATATCGGTATCGGTCTGATACGGACCTAAATTACTGAATCGGATATCGGTGAGAAATAAAAAATCTAATCCGATCCATTAAATATCACGAAAGCACCTCACAAAACTTGCGACATGGTGTAACTCAGCTCATAACCTTAGCACGTCGGAGCAGTATGCATCACGTGATTAGAGAGGCTGTGGCGTGCGAGACCTGTCAGCGGTCTGATTGAGCATTTGGATCCTTGCTACCAAGCCGGCATTTCATCTCCGAGAAAGTGATCCCAGAGAGAAGTAAAGCAAGTGGGTAAGTTCATCTCTGAATGTTTGTAAAGCATTCGCACGTTAAGCTTAACAACCGATTTATGGAGCGACTACCTCTTCTCTCTCCATCTCCTGTTGCTACTTCAATCATGAAACTGATCAATGATCGGCTGATCGGCTTTTCTGTAGCAACTCCCGTCTCTCTTGTTTGTTTATGGCCGACTTTGCACCAGAAAGGGGAAACCAGTGGCTGAACAACAGCAGCACATTTAAGCTTGATAAGCTGTTGTTAGAATTTATTTAATATTACTTTCTACACCAGGATCCTTTTCTACGCAGCTGACGGCTGGTAACTGTGCAGGGGCGGATCTAGCAAGCTTATGCCAGGGGGCCAGATAGGGCATTAACGGGGAAAAGGGGGGCACAAAGAAATACTTTTCTTTCTTATTGTAATTTAAAATGTCTAGCTTTTATTAAATAATTATCTGAATCTTACACCCAAAGTTTTAATCTGATGTAAAATGTATAGAAGTCCATTACTGTATATAGTAACTATTAAGTCTAATATACCCTAGTAAGCTATAGTACTTTCCCCTTTGGGAAGGTACCATCTGTGCAGTCTGCAGTTCTGTTGAAGAAAGATGTTGAATCTACTTAATTATTGTGGAAAAATAATTGATTTCTGTGCCTTTATTTTTTTTATCACATGCATTAAATTAAAGTTGATTACGTCGTTTAAGCATCGCGAGGGTGGGGGGTGGTTCCCTTTTTTTTTTTTTTTGCTGGGAGTTGGCAACTCTTACTTAGGTTGCTTAATATTTCTGCTAAGTACTCTTTAAAATACCAGAATAGGGAGGATGGAGTAGGTTTAAGTTTATTAGATCGATCAGTATTGCTGAACTATGAAATATTTTGGGTGCACTGTATTTTTTGCATACAGCCGTAACAGAATAGCTTTAGGGTTGTTTTTTTTGTTTTTTTTTTACTTGAGTATGAACTTATGCAGCAAGATATTAAAAAAAACAAACAAAAAAAAAAACAGTTTTATTGATTAAAAAATACACTATATCGGATTCATATCGGTATCGGCAGATATCCAAATTTATAATATCGGTATCAGACATAAAATGTGGTATCGTGCCATCTCTAGTTTGAATCGCAAATTTAAGGCAAAACTCATATTTTAGTAAGTTCAGTAAGTAAGAAAAAATTATTAAAAAACATTTTTGTGTGATAATT